TTAATTTTGATTTGGCTTAGTTTTGAGCATCCACCCTTATTCGGTGGATCTTATATATAAACAAGCTTAGGTAAATTGTAAAAAGGTTGGATAATTCATTAACAAAATCGAGACGTTAAGCTTGTGTCCACTTGTCCTTGTGCTTCTAATCCTTGGATCCAGTGACGAGGAGAGAGAAAACTTTCAAAAAGAGAAAATACCCCTGAGCCATCCTGAGCACGAGGTCCCATTCTCTCTTTTCTTCTCTTAGGCTAGGCCATACCTCAAGCCCACTCTCTCTCCTCTTCTTCCTCTCTTTCGCTACCCATTGCTTGCCCCACACAGCAATTTAGGCTCACGACAAATACGCGGTCCCATTTTCTTCTCACTTATTTCTCTCATTCTCGTCACGTTGTAGGACTCGTAGTCACGTAACCCGTGGTCCCGTCTCCCTTTGTGTCCTTCCCCGGTGCAATTGGAGCGTAAACACAGTAAACCTGCTACTTTGCTCAGCATCCCGCTATCCGATATACACTCGACTCAATACCCTTCAAAGCTAGCTCAAGAGTTCCAATCATTGGACCATCCCTCTAACTTCCTCTCCGTACAGTTGAGTTGAGTTGAGCTGCGAGGAACACATACGTTCTCTCCCTCAGTCACTCGAGTGGAGTCTTCATGAGTCGACGGTAAAGAAAGCTCTAACTCTTTAGCTGCTCTGATCGCCTGAGTGCATAGCGTTTAAGCGCATAGGGGGATACTTGTCACCTTTTCTCCCCTTGTTCTATTTCTTGCAAGCCAGTCCCTTGTTTAAGTGAACCTTTATAGAGGACTACTGACTAATCCACATTGCAGTTTCCAGCGAAAAAGAACGGAGCGACGTGTTAAAGCCTGTGGAGAGTTAGTGTCCAAACCGCATTGGCAGATAACCGGAGGGCTTCGTAATTGTTCTAAGAGGGCGAATTGCCCAATGTGTTCGGGACACACCCCCGTCGTAAAATCCTAAACACACCCCCGTCGTAAAATCTATCTCTTTGTTGGTTCCTATCCGTGCATAGGACAGCACGCGTGCGCACACTCACAAACATCCAGCGCGCGCGGACCCTCCGTAGTTGTTTGAGAGAGGATTTTCTCCGGACTATGTAGTACTTGATTAGGTTATTGCCCCAAGGAGTAAGCACTTTTTCAACTTTATTTAAGAATTTGGAAAAGAGACAAATGTCTACTCTACCTAACAAGTGAAATTATTCATTTGCTTTACACTCTTTTACTTTTTCTTATTCCAATTTTCCCTCAATAAAATAAAACCGTACACCTTTTTTTTAAGGTTAATCAAAGCTTACTCATTACAAAAAAAAAAAAATATGCTTACCTTTACTAAATAAATTTATGTTCAACTTCCCTTGCAAAACCTTCAATCAATTGTGTCGTGCCACCAACAAAGTGAAAGGCTACCTTATTTAAGTTCAACTCTCCTTGCAAAACCTTTAATCAATTGTGTTTTCCCAATGTCCAGCACTCGTTCAATTGTGTCGTGCCACCAACAAAGTGAAAGGCTACCTTATTTAAGTTCAACTCTCCTTGCAAAACCTTTAATCAATTGTGTTTTCCCAATGTCCAGCACTCGTGCCAACAAAGTGCAAGGCTACATTATTTAAGGATGAGGTATGCATAAGGTGCTAGCCTAAAATAAACAGAAGTAAGCCGCACCTTCAAACCATACTTCCTCCTGCCCAACTTTCCATTTTGAATGGAAAGCTGAGATGCTTTCAATCACAATGTCACGCCTCTATATTATTTTATTTTTAATTTTTTTTATACAAAATATTTTTACAGAGCATCCACTCCTCACTTAAAGTCACATTAGCAAAAAATATAAAACAAATATTTTCATTAAAATAAAATAACAAAAATGCCTCTAAAATATTCAAAGGTATTTTAGTCATTTTATTTTACCAAAAATAGTTTTTAATAGTTGTTTTAGGTGCGCCCCATTGCGATGATGCCGATACAAAATTTCATATTCATATAATTTGTAGAAAAAACATTAAAGCATAAAATCCTCTTAAGCGTCAGATCTAGATCAAACAGTCAGTGGCTCTCACTTGATCAAGATTGATCGGCTGGATGGGGAGAGAAAATATATATTTTACAAACACTAGAGGAAGTATAAAAACTTTTCTTTTAAAAAATAGTACAGACAAAGCAGATCTATAAACACATAAAAATCGATATCCCGAATAATATATTAAAAAATATATTATTTTCATGACTTGAACACTTTTTTAATATTAATATTATCGAGTCTGAGATGATCATTTGGAGCATTTCCTGGCGTTGTTCAACCTCTTCCAACCGGTTTTTAAGGCGCGCCTTACTTCTGTAATATAAGGTGGACACCTTATATAAACTCTTTCATTTATTTAATTGGATTGGGCTATGATTTGAACGAATTGGATTCAACAAGGAATTCATTTATTATATAAATACTCTTGAGGACAGTGGTCGGATCTTTGTTTCAAGGGCATTTAAATACTCCGGTAAAAGTATAAAAAACATAAGAATTGTTTATTGAGTTTACAGATTAGAAAATGCCTGAAAAAGATCAAAAGCAATCATTGATCCCCATTTTGAAAGGAATAATTAATGAAAAGTAATGTAGCACTAAGACTACTTTATCCTATTGTTTTTTATTTGAGAGAAAATAAGTGTTGTAACCTCTGCATGTTGAGAGTGTGATGGTCTCCTGCCCTAGTTGGCACGATGCACATTCCGAAGGATAGATTCATTTACTTTTAATACGAGGAAGTTGCTATAGCTATTTAACGTGAAATTCAAAAGCTGGGAGTCTTATAAAGTTCAAAAAATAAATTAAATTATCCGACTAACACATCCCATCACCTAATTTCATATCCAACTGTCCAAAAGCTTATGTTAGCTACAGGATATATTTTGTAGGACAATATGGATTAAAAGAGATGAAGTTATCTAAATAGCAAAAATGGTATACATTTTGCTTCATATTTTTTTATATATAGTTGTTTTTTATTTGGAGCGCCAGGATGAGACATACGTGTGAATATTGTTTTAAAAATCATCAAGATAATTGGAAACCGCTTGGACGAACTCTGAATAGATCCAGATCTAAGATCTCCGACTTGCCCCAATTCCTTTGGTTCTTAGAATTCTTCTTAGTTTTTTAATTTTTCCATACAAAAGAATCCCAAAAAGTGGAGTGTCGATCTAGCTCAAACCTAGGGCTGACAATGGGCCAGCTCGACGTAGCGAAGCCCATTTGGCCTAGCCCTAAAAGTTAGAGCCTAAGCCGAAAATATAGCATGAGAGCCGAGCTAGGGCCTAGCACCCTATGGGGATAAGGCCCGAGCTAAGACCAAGGAAAGCGTGGCCTAGAACCACCTCATTGCCAGCCTTATTCAAAACTGATGGGTGAACCCAACCCACCACTATACTTTTTAAAAAACAAAAACTGATAGGTGACTTATACTACCCAACCCACCAATATACTTTTTAAAAAACCGATGGGTAATTAATGTAACCCAACCCACCAGTATACTTTTTTAAATAATGCATGTACACAAAATTTGAGGTAAGCCATTTTTCACCAAAATGCTCGAACAAGTCAACGTTCTTGTTTGAGGTCAGTCATTTTTCACCAAAAAGCTCGAACAGTCAACACTCTTGTATATCAAGAGTCAGCTACTAATACTATTACAAAAAATTTATCCATTTTTTCAGTATTTATGAATGCCCGTTGAAAAACAATAAAGAAAGGAAAATATCCTTCACTTAAACATACAGAAATAGAAACAGTACAGTGAAAAAGTATAAACAGAAAGAGAAGAAACCGAAACCCCAAAATGGTAATAAGTAATGATCCATGCCCATATCCCTTGATCCATGCGCATCTCCCTCAAAACCATAGAGTACTGTACCATAAAATGGTAACATTATCTTGCTCATGAAAAAAACAATAAATAGGAAACATGAACTCCTAGAAAATCTAGGATTCTCAAATAAATTACCCCAGAAACCCCAACGAATTAAAAATACACAGAGAGAGAACCAATAATATTTTCTCCTTATTAAGATACAATAAAACCCTCAAAAATAAAACAAGAAAACAATCTCTCTATGATCGTAAAACCTATTATGCACATTAACCAATATATAACAAAGAATCAGCCCCCTAAATAGACCCAAGAATAAACAAAAGAAAAAGTACCTCTCTCTCTTTCTCTCTCTCTCTCTCTCTCTTCTTCTTCTTCTCTTCTCTCTCT